TGATTATGTGATACGAAGGGTATAAATTGTTTGAACAAAAGGGTGTTTGGAATTTGTACGAATGGTGCTCTGAGTGAACGAAGGGTTAGTGTTCATTACTGTTCATTGGATAGGCTTCCTATGCTTCGTGCTTCGTATGATAGAGGATAGAGGATTCTTCGTATGAATTAGAAAGAAGAAAGACAATTTTGAAAACGGCCCCTGAATCTTTGAATTTTTGTCATCTTCGAATATTAACACAAGTTTCGAATGTTTGACACATTTCACCCAAAATTCGAAATTTTTTTGGTACTTCGTATATTTTGGGCATGCTTCGTATGATTTGTGCACAAATGGCAAAATTTTTGAAAATACTCCCTAAGACTTCGAATTTTTGGCAGTTTGCACCCAAATTCGTAAAAGGACTCTTTTTTGCTGCAAATTGAAGAAAGGGCATTTCAGGCCCTACAGTTTGTGCAAACTGACACTTTTTACCTAGATTTGAAAAAGGGGGAGTGTTTTGCATATTTTGCTCTTTTGGGCGCAACGGGTCACTGCAGAATTTTGAAATTGACAATTTTTACCTATTTTTGAGAAATTTTGTCAAAGACAATCCATGAACAAAGATAAAAATTGATTATTTTTTGGATTTTCCGGATTAAAGCACAACGTTTATGCCACATGTTAAAGGGGAGTTTTGACATGAAAAATTCCAATAAAGCACGTACTTTTTCCTTGGAGTTTTATAATTAAATTTCGATTATAAAAAGGGGAATAAGTTTTATATGGAAATTCGAACTTGAATTTTTCATATTACGCGGATTTGAAGACCGAAGTGATCTTGAAGTTTTGAAGCCAGGAGATGATGCAATTGGAAGTCCGGAAGTGATGTATTCAAAGTGGGTTTGGTTTTATTGAAGATATTTAGGGTGTGTTTTTATGCGCAACTTTTGGGTGATTATTTGGAATTATTCATTCGTTGCTGCTCGGATTGTATGGTCTCACATCCTACAACCCAAATTGAAGAATCATGGACGAATTGAAGATTGAAGTTCGTTTCGACATGTGTCACCTTTGAGGCTCGAACCGCGTAGTTTCTCGACTTTTGAAGAATTAAAGTGGGTCATTCATTCCTAACTTTGAGGGGGAGAATGTTGGGGTGCAAAGTTATTCATGATTGACTTTGTAAATGTTTGAATTTTGTAAAACCCACTTGCATGTGGAGTATTATCCTTTTGACACATATGTTAATGAGAGTGAGAGAGAGACATGTAAACACCTCTATATAAGGTGGGTTTGTCCACTTGTATAGGTGTGCTTGAGAGATGTAGTCATAGTGATTAGTGAGTGAGATATTTATGAAGTTCTAGACTGGATTCCTTTTTGTATTCATTTACTATGATCGAATATATCTTTTAGCACCCAAATCACCATGTTCAATTGTGCAAGCTTTAATTCCGCATGCCAAACCATGTTCTTTGTCACAACAATATTGATAATGATTTAATCTTTCTTTTTGGTTTTGGATTATCTAGCTTGTAAGGACGACACACGCGACGTGTATGTGGTGTAAAATCAAAAACCCTAGAACAAAATCATGAAGCGAGTGTTCTGATTTGGAGACGTGATTATGCTAGTGGGATGCAATGCATAAGATTCTCCTACGCTGTGTGGAAGTCACGTATCACAAATTATGTTTTCCTTTTTCAGTTTTAAGTATGTTTTGGTCAATCTTCTGCATCTGAACAGATCTTGTGCAAATCTGTTGGTTTTACAAAAGTCGGATATCAAGTCTTCTTAATTGTTTTATTTATTTAATTATAATTATTAATTAGTAAAAGAATCATGACATTGTTTTTTGGATGATACCTCGCATGGGAGATTTTAGATAAAATAGTATGTCAGCTTGTTTTCGAGTTCAGGATTATTCATTTAATCTAAAAGTTGCAATACAAGTTCAAAATAATTATTTAATTTTAATTGTATGGGCCCGATACACCGAGCCTTGACTTAAACTATGTATGGAATGTTTGGTTGGAGTTCCATGATGCTCTTTCTTACATCAAGAGTTGGTGGTTATTTTAGTGGGAGATTTGAAGTTAAGTTTTAACCTTAGTATGATGTGTCTCCTATGATGACTCATATGGGAGATTTATATGATTGTGTTTTTATGCTTGCGTGATTATTTACTCCATGCATGTTTGCTTATCTAAAATTGGAATACATTCTGCTAAAAGTTAACAAAGAAAAGGCTTTTTATAATATTTATAAAATTGTCTGAAATTTTAATGTTTTCAAAAGATCAAGTTAAAATGTTGTAAATAAAAAAAAAATCTTGTTTTCTGATAATATAAATCTCACGTTACGCATGAAAAACACACATCATCTTTACAACGTGTTGACATGGGGTAGTGCTTGGAACCACTCCGTTAAATATATATAGTCAATGTGATGTCATATTCGTAATGTGTTACTTAAGCTGGGGATCATGTGTTTTTTCATGGTTTATTTAACATTTAAAATGAAGATCCTTGGCTAATGCAATAATGAATGTTAGACGAGCATGGAGGAGATTAACATGCTAGTGACATAAGTCAATAAATCTGTACAAACCTAGGAGTTTCATAGAGACTGAAACTCGTAAGCAGTTTTCCTACCAAAATAATCTTCTTGATATGATTAAGGGTAATTAGGGGTGTAAAAGAGCCGAGCCGAACGCGAGCCAGACCAAGCTCGAGCTCGGCTCGTTTAATTTTGAAGAAGCTCGAGCTCGATTTAAGCCTTAAAATGATGCTCGAGCTTGGCTCGTGAACAATTTAGTAGGCTCGCGAGACTAAACGAGCGTATATATATATATATATATATATATATATATATATATATATATATATATATATATATATAAGCTCATTTAATAAATGAGCCTCATATTTAATCGGGCTCGTTTAATTCGATCTCGAGTTGAGCTTTTAACGGGTCGATCCCGAGTAGCTCACGGGTAGTGCGACTTACTTACACCCCTATGAGTAATCCTCTTCACATTTTGGAGTGAAATATGGATAATAGCCTTATCTAAATATCTTTAATTGAATTGGGTAATTGTTTTTATAAGGATTATATAAAAACAGACTAGAATGGATTTATATTCAATGATGTCTATAAACAAAAATCGTCCAGTAAAATTTTCTTGCTATAAAACCTCTGAAAGGACAAGCTGATCTGAGATATTAATTTTGTCTAAATTCTTGGTTTGGGCGTAGTTCTAATAAATAAAAAAATGATCGTTCTTTTAATAAAGATCATTCTCAGGTTCCTCTAGATATTGCATTATAGTTGTAGGAAGGAGCATATATCAAGTGTACTTTGTACGTTGACAAAATGAAGCAACATGTAATTCTATGAAGTTAGGAGTTAACTGTGGTAACATAACCAACTAGCTGACATGTATATATAATGAGTTTATTTTGATTTCATATGAACGACATGGAAGGATCTATGATGGAGTTGCATGGCAGGTTGAGGGCCTTTAAACCTAACATGGCCTTACATAGACACTCCAACTTCAATGCTCCAATGTTTGTTATCATGAACAGAAGCGTCAAGAAGAAGTAATCAATTCCCCTTGGTTAAAAGGAACTGTGAGTTGGTACACCCAATTCTGACCCTAAAAACTAAAGACAAAAGGAATGTTTATTCTGAAACATATTTCGTTATGATATTTGTTTCCAAAACAAGAAAATGACTAAGAAAGCATAAATGCCCAGTATATATGAAAGAACTGGAAAAAAATAAAAACAAAGGTATTGCATATTCAATTATATGAATTCATAATACCATTGGAATAATACTTCCCAACCTTGAGTATAGTACATAAGACAGGTACTAAAATTTTCAAGAATGTGTAGTGACTAAGAGAAGTTAAGAGACTAAAACATAAAGAAGCTGACATTGATCAAGGATATCAAGCCCATGTTACTATCCTTAAGATCAAAACACAACTAGTTCTACCAAATGTTTAGTCTATGGTTGGATATAGTAATTCAGAACACCATTAGAATATTACTTCCATCCTTGATTATTGTTCACAAGAAAAGTACTAACGTTATCAAGAATGTTCAGTTACTAAAGGGAAGTAAAATACTGAAATATAAAGAACATAGTTTGATCATGGATACTGAAACCATGCTCCTATCCATAGTATCAAGAATGAACTAATTATTTCCAATTTTAGTCTATTGTTCTTATGATTGATATTGTTTTTACAATCTTTCGGAGATGACTCTGACTTATTTAAATATAAAAGGTTTTATAAGTTTTCTATTTAAAAGCATGCCATGTAACATACAAAACTAGTATAGTAACAATAGTTCAACTTTGATTTGAATACATCCAAAAGTTTGGATAAAATGTATTTCTGTAGAATCATCTTTTTGGACATATAAATAAGAAATACATTACCAAATATTCGGTTATATAAGACTTTGTCAATCATTTGATCACATGTCTTATGATAAATGTAAATCTTATTCATCAAAATAGACGAAGGATACAACACTTGGTGATGCGAATATATGGTGGAATTAGTGATGGAACCTTTAAGCAGTTCGGAGCTCTCACAAAATGAAGATAAGAGTCAACTAGGCAATAGGATGAGATTCTCATATGCAATAGGGATAGTGAGAATTATAAACAAAAGCATAACAAGAATCGAAGGAACAATGAAAGAGTTTCACAAACTATCTCCAACAAGAATATTACAAAAAAAAAAAATATACTTAGATAGTGAAACAAATTATTGTTTGATTTGATAATTGATGTGTCGTACTATGCTTACAAACAATTAATGGACTATACCATGGAAAGTGTTACAAGAGTCCTTATAAACACTAATTACAATTTGTCTACTTTCAATATCTGTCTATCAATAATTTTAAATAGTAATTTATATTAGCTTCATATTCAATGATAACGTTATTTATATAACTTTATAATTTGTCCCAAAATATCTAATACTTGTCTTATCATTGTTTCTTTAACAAGCAACGAAATATATATTTCAACTTAGATTTTAATCGTTCAAGTCTCCCTTGTATAATTTTCTCTTTGTCTCCACCCGAATGTAATCCATCTTGGAGGATCTCATCTTCTAAACCATGTTGGATCATATCATCTGCTAATCCATATGGGACGATCTCATCTTCTACCTGGTGACAAGAATGAAAACAAATGATCAGGTTAATTTTGATGTAAACCATCTTATTTTTACCCCTCTAGTTGAAAACATGTCAATATCGACGGAATTGACAAAAAATATTCGAACTTACTTGAATTTTCAAGGCCTCCTTCAGCTGGAACACAACCTCAGTTATTGTAGGTCGGTCTTCTCGATTTTCTTGCAAGCATTGATAGGCTATAGCCGAATACTTGAGCAACGTTGTTGGTTTGATATCTTTCCTTATTGTGTGATCAATAATCTTGTGTAGCTCTCCATTTTTGTAGCATGTTCGAGCCAAATGATAGAGGAATCGCCGCTCATCATGATAATCGTAAACACATGCCAACCTTCGGCACAAAACTTCAAACAAAACCACACCAAACGAAAACACATCTGATTCTTTTGTTAAAAACCCTGTTCGTTCGTATTGTGGATCACAATAACCATGTGTCCCGGCAAGATTAGTTATCACAAAAGTGTTTTGTTGATTTGCTAGTCCTATCCTAGCCAACCCAAAGTCCGCAAGTTTTGCATTCCAATTCTCATCTACCAAAATATTCGCGCTTTTTATATCACGATGGATTATTCTGTGTTTTTCTGCCACATGATTATGAAGATAATTGATCGCCGAAGCAACACCAATGCATATATTGAGGAGTTGAGGCCATGATGGTCCATCCGAAACAGGAGTGTTACGTAAATACGTGTCGAGGCTACCATGGCTCGCGTATTCATAGATGAGGATCATCTCCTTGTTGTCATCGCAAAACCCTAGAAGGCTTACGATATTTTCATGTTGATATTGTGAAAGCATTGCGAGCTCAGTGTGGAACTCCTTTCTACCTTGAAACCCAGCAGCATCTAGCCGTTTTACAGCAACTAGTTGGTTTACATGATCTGCCCATGTGAGGACTCCTGTGTAGACTCTTCCATATCCACCCTTCCCAATGAAGTTTCTTTCGTCGAAGTCTTGGGTGCAATTTTTTATGGCGTGGAGGGGAATTTTGAGGTGGTCTTGTTGCTTCATCTGGGATATGATCTGGACTAATTAATACTGAAGCAATCAGACAACATATATAGACGATTTCTTGAACTAACCTCTGGATGTCTTTGTAGTGCTTGATCTGAAATTTCAGGGTCAAGTGGATGTACATTATGAGAACACATTTCTGCCTTCTCTACAACCTCTTCATGTGCTTTCAATATCTATATATGCACTCATATAAAGTACTATTTCACCAAAATTGCATCACCATATAAAAAAAATAATTAAAGGTTTTCTTGGAGAAAGAGAAGTATTCAGCCTTTACCTCTTCTGCCACCTCCACGGATTCAAAGGAACAGAAAACCTTCAAAACTTCAAAGAGAACAGAAGCAGTCTGACAAGCTTTTGTAAGACGGGTACTAACATTAGAAGAAAATTTCTGAAATCAAGATACATAAAAATAAAAAGAAGACAAAAATTCAAGAACACGATTCATTACCCATCAGCATTATCAGCATTTTGAAAGCCCTGAATGTAGTTTGCATAATAATGCACATAGAAGGCCTGCATTTCATGAGAATCACGGTTTCTTTGTCCTCCTAACGTTACTGCATCTTCCTGAGTAGATTACACAACCATAGGATTGAAGTAAAAAATGATACACCACTAAAATAAAGATGGCCATTGATATACATGCTCAATCTTAGAAAGGAAACTAGAAGTGGAACGAGATTAACAATCCATAAATTAAGAGTCTAACATGCACTGATGATGAAAATAAAGACTTTTATATGTTTTGATATTCTTGGAGTGCCTTGATTAAAATTTTCAAAACTATGTGGACAGAGAGCGTATGTAAAGTTGTACAAGTTGATGCTTATGAATGAGTACTTAACTTTAGTTCATGCCACTAGAAGCAGCTTTGGATTAGCAGAAAGAGGATTAAGCTACAATCAAACCTCATCATATGCCGAGAATAAATGAAAGTAATTGAAAATTCAGTTGGTAGAAAAGGGCTAAGATCTGGTATGCAATAGACCACCCATACTATGTTTTCCACAGTTGCTAAACTTGCATTTATTAGTTGATTCCCTTTTTTTTCTTTATCACTCTAACTTGTGATCAGTTATATGTTTCGAATTCCTGTATCCAAGTATCCTGTGAATGTAATTGTAAATGGAGTTACCACATTTGTTAGTGGTGAAGGGAATTTTAGTTTGTTTGCATTTTAAGAACTCCATGACCTCTTAATTCTCATTGTTGTCTTAAAAAAAACATTTTAGAGTGTTTCTTTGTTTGACAATGCTCATTAACTGATAAGATATAACACAAAAAAGAACGTTTACCCTATCTAAACGATGAAGCAGAGCATTCTTGAATTGACGAACACCATAACCACGTGATGCGGGATCTAGTTTGTGTGCTTCCCCAAAGGCATGCAATCGACCTGATCATGCATACAAAAAGGTTTCTTCATCCACACTGAAACAGCTAAGAATAGTAGTCACATGCCCTTCTTAAAAAATATAACACAGCTTTTCTGTATACGCAAAGGTACGCTCGAGTAGTATATATGCATGAAAAAAGGTCTCTTGATCCACTCTTTTATGTTGTGAAATATACATTTGAGAAACTATGAATTCCACCTTTGGTAGATTTGCACTAGTTACCAAAGAACAATCAGCTAGCTAGGGTGTAAGAAACATAGGCATTTTCTCTACAGAAATTACATTATTGTATAAGCCTTGTCTCTTTGAGACTTCGTCCATACAATCTTTATTAGAATCCAATTTAGAAATAAATGTATCCATGTTATAATGTAAAAGAAAACTACTTGGATGCTGTTCGAGACTCACTACTATCAAGGAGCATGTGCATCTCAACAGTTTCAAAAAACATATGTCTGTGTGTGTAAACTTCACGCTGTTAATACGAACTGGGGACTTACAAAGATAGGCAACCCTTGGATTCTTCAATTGAATTTCATTGGCAACACGAAGAATAGGCTGAATCTCAACAAGAGATGGAGGAACTGCTTCATTGATCATAATACCTTCCAAATCCTTGTCACTTGAAAGCCAGTATTTCTTCAAATACTTCTTATAACAGAGCTCATCTGATGGAACATATATTCAGCATCATATACATAATATAATATCCCGAAGAGAAAACGAATCAGCAAATGACCAGAGAAGTTTTTTTTTAATTAAAGTAATATAGATATGGAAAACAGTATCAATCTTATAAAGATACGGGAACAATCCATCGTCCAGCCGTTTCGAAAAACAAGTTGTATGTAAAGTCAAATAGTAGACTACATGTATACATTCTCGACACTCTCCAAGTCTTCCTAAAGAGAAACATAAACTCTCTTGATTCGTCACTACATGGGTAGAATATTAATGATGATCATTAAAAAAAACAATGTAACAAACATATCATATTACATAAAACCCAGACACACAATCTCATTTTCATCCGTAAAAAATGAAAAAGATAAAAAACCCTCGCAGTTGTTTTCACTTGTTTGAACATCGAGTATACACCAGATAAGGATATGATAATGAAAATAATAGAAGAAAATGGAGATTATGAACTTACTAAGCAATTAAATGCATCAAACTTCTGATAACCATCGTTATTGTTTCTGTCGAAGAACAATTATGTGTGTTTCTTTAAATACAGAGCGTTTTGATGGGAACTTCGTTTAAGTTTCTTCCAATACCTATTCTCATCCGCGCGCCGGCCACCGCATCGGGCTTGTCAAAATTTCTAAGTTCTGACTAGAGGTAGTTTAAACATTTTGAAAATTCGTGTATACAAAAAGTGAAAACATATAATTTACATTTGAATTTTTTTTTTTAATTATACATAAGAATTTATTTCCATTTTGTAAATTCAATCAGCAAAAAGGCGCTTTTTCTGATTTTACAACCATATGCTAAAAACAAATATGTAAAAGAATTTGGTAGACGAATTTATAAACACAATTAATTTGTGAAAGCAAACTTTTTTAAAATATACCTAAAACTAAAATATAAGATTAAATTAATTTTGTTAAAATAAAATAAGTTTATTAAAACAAATTTAGAAAAAATAACAATAAGAAATTTAATAATTAAATTTAGAAGAATAGAAAAACAAAGTTATATATATATATATATATATATATATATATATATATATATATATATATATATATATATATATATATATATATTAGTTTATAACCCGTGGAAACCACGGTTATAAAGTTAATTGAAATTTTATAGTAAAACCTCAAAATTAATAATTAATTATTTTAAATAAATTATGAATTACGATATATTTTTATTAGTTTTGTGAAATTATAATCGTTGATTCAAATAATATATATATATATAATTAGTTTTTAATATATATTAGACATTTTTTATTTGTGAATTAATGAAAACAATAATATAAAATTTCAAATTTAAAATGGAGAATAAATATATTGACAAAGAACATCACATTAATTAAGAGGTCTAACAAATTTAAAATGGAGAACTAATAGATTGATAAGTGGCATCATATTAACTAAAAGGTCTAATAATTCTCATGACCTTAGGGAATACCGTGGTTCTAAAAAGCGAGTTATTGTGCACCTCAAGGTGTGCCATGACGCGATGCATAATTTAATCGTTACGAAAATGTTCAATGCGGGTTTGAGAAGCGTGACGCCCAAATAACGTGTCAAGGCACGCCTTATCGCGTTATGGTGCGAGTTTTTTTTCAAGGCGCGAGTTTTTTTTTTTTTTTTTTTTTGTTTTTATTCTTTTATTTTTTTATCGGTCCTAAAATAAATCATTTCTTGTTAACTTTTTTCTGTTAGATATTAATATAACACTTCTAAAAACTTCATATATTTGATAAAATTCAATAATTATATGATTTATATCTTTTAATGTATATAATATAGTCATGCATTGAAAAACGTCATGGCTCGCCAAAGCTTGTCATGACTTAACTTTTACGTTGCCGCCAAGTCACGCCTTAAGTTATTTAGAACCTTGGGAAGGAAGAGTGATTTTTGTTTACTTTAGGTATTTGCCTTTGCTACATGATTTTGGAATATTGACAACTTTAGTCTTTGCCTCTATTCTAAAAGTATATTGATTCTCGCTTCTTCGCCATCCATCACCTTCTCTCCGATATTTGTTCATCGCCTTTGATGAAATCAAGGCCTCCATCATAACAAGACAAACTTTTTTGATCTGGCTTCTTCCCCAAATATAGGTAATGTCCTCGAATGAGTGTAAAAGTGCAGAAGGAAACCTACAGGAATTTGATGGTGGGGCCATAACCTCAAGAGGAATAGCGAACTATTGAATTCTAAAAAGGAATCGAAACTCATTGCCTTCGATTTTTTGTTTCTTTTGTAAAGTAGGTTTCGAATCACATCGTAGGAGGTAAGCCCTATGTTTTCAATTTTCAGGTATTTCAAACTTTTATTCTTCAATCGTGTATTATCTGTAACAAATATTGGATTTGGGTTAAAGCTGCTGGCAATAAAGATGGAAGCCATCCATGGGAAGAATCATGGTCTCAAGTTATAAATATGTTGTTATGCATAAAAGATCAGACCGAAGTCATGTAAGTTTTCAGTATTAGTCAATTCAATCTATCTAAAAAAGTTGTTTTGTCTCTACTATGAGTTTTATGGCCGCTGATTTCAAAATGATTTGGCAGTTAGGGCTTTAAGTACAAATTGAATTTCTAATTTGTACATTATTTTTCTGCAAATTTCGTACTGAAATTGGTCTTTTTCAATACGTGAGTTAGAGCTTTACGTCTATTCTAATTTTATTTTCTACGAATTCCAAATGAACTAAAATTGAATTTCTCGGAATTGATGACTATATGCTCGCTTTTTTATTACTATTTAGTATATCTCTTCCACCCATTCAAGAAATTTCTAAGTACAAATCGACCTAGTTTAGCAGAAAATAATTGCAATTTGATTTTTTTTTTCCTATTCTCAATATACATATGTTTGATTTTCCAAACAATTGGATGATAGAGATATGTCGGTTCAAATTGTCTCGACATATGTGGTTTGTAGTGAACTTTCCTTGGGTAGGTTTACTTGATTTTTTTAAAATTTGGTTTCATAAGCCTCTTTAACATCTTTGATGCAAATACTGATTTCCCCTCTGAAAATTCCTTCTTATAGATGAGTCCACCGAATTTGATAGATGTTGGTTTTAGATCAGGAAAAATGAGGATTGTTTAGTTCATTTAAAGTATTGTTGATTGTACCATGTAAAAGTCACTATTTTGACATATTTTTTCAGGTTAAAAATATTTTGGAAAATGATCATTATTAGCATTGATACTTTTAAACTGACCACATGCTTTCATCTCGCTAATATTTAGAAGGTGATTATTGTAATTCTTCACTTGCCTTAAGACTGATCTGATTGATTTATTTTGTAACACAATGTTTATTTAATTAATTAATTAATTAATTAATTAATGATTAGTATCCCTAAAATCCATAATTTTAGTGGAGAGTTGGTTTTCGGAAACCAAATGATACAATTTTAGTAGTCATGGGTTAAAAGTGTAAGTTACATATTAGTTTTGTAAGTAATATTGAAGATAGGGGCTGCATGGTAATAATTAGGACTCAATATGGAAGGAATTATGGAAGCAAGGGGTAAAATGTAAATTTTGGATAAAGATTTGTGGAATCAGGTGTTAGAAAGGTAAATTTCGTATTAATTTAGAAAGAAAAAGAGAAAGGAGGGACCAAAGATGTTATTATGGAGAAAAGTTTATGGCACAGGGGTATATAGACATCAGCACTTGTCTAACCCTAAACCTAACCAATAGTTGCAGCCGCTATCGTCGAAAGCTCTCCAGCCGCCACCCTTCTTCGTGGTTTCGATCATATGATTCCGATGAGCATGGCATTTCCAATCGACACCACCCGCCACCGTGACGAGTGTTGATGTTGCTACCTCTCCGTGGTCGCTGAAGACGGAGATTAACGATGGGCGGTGTCATTTCAGTCGTGGGGCAATGGAAGTACGACGAATTCAGAGGATGTTGTAGGCCATGGTCGAGCTGCTATGCTACCGTTTTCTGCGAAGATGAGGCCGTCGTCGGTTGCGCCACCTCCTTTCATTGTTACTTCGACGCCGCTGTTGCTGCTGCCGTCACCATGCACCACCGGGGGTGGTTGTGTCTAGATTCCGATCAAGGTCTCGTCGGGGTGTGCTATTGCTTGACTAAGAACCAAAAGAGATCATTGCCACCACCATGAGGTGGTGGTTGTCGTCCAAAAATGTTTATTGTTGCCGTTATGGGCCACCAGGAGGGTGGTTGGGGTACATCTCGTAGATAAGAAGCAAGTATGGTGGATGTGTTTCTGTTTTCTTTGGTGGGTTATGTGTGTTTTGTCTAGCCGGAATGTCGAGAATAGCTACGGCCACCACTAGCCACCGCCGACCACCACAAGGTGGTTGTGTGTGTATGTGTGTGTATTTAGCTTAGTTGTATGAGTTATTTTGGAGATTACCATTGTAAAATGTAATTAGAAAAGTGGAATAATGGAAAGAAATTGAAAACACCACCTGCCACCACCGACTGCCGTGTTGGGTAGCGGTGTGCTTGCCTCGTTGAGCTTGATTCGTTTGGGGTGCTTGAAACCCTAATGGGCCTTGTAAGCTCTAATGGTCCCAATGATGCTTAATGGACCTAAAAGCCCAAACATGTGACTAATGGGATTAATGGTATTCTAGTGGGCGTAATAGGCCCAATAAAACCCTAATTGACCTAAAGGCCCTTCAAATTGATAAATGGGCTAGTATTTGGGTTGAAAACCCTAATGCCAATAAAACCCTAACTTTGAGAAATTATCGGGACACACACGGGAATTATTTAATAACTTGAAATATTAAATAATAATCATTGGCAGATATTAATCTAAGCAAGATTGGACTTAACGGATTAAGTCCTTAGTGGGTTAAGTCCTTAATGGGTTAAGTGAGAAACACTTAACCCTAATCGTTATTTTATGTGAAACCCTAATTTCCCTTGGGCCTTGAGTTGGGCCTTTCCATTGGGCTTTGGTAGTTGGATTATTAATGGGCCATCCTAGAATAATCTTATGGACTAGAATATGTTGATGGGCTTAGGATACAACCTATATGAGGGTTTGGGCCCAATTTGGAAATTGGGCCATAGATGGGCCATAGTTTGGGCCTTTTTGATTATGAGATATTAGGCCAATAAAAATACCAAATGATGGACTCCACTTTTGGTTGAGCCTTAGAATGAGACCATGTAAACGTTTGGGTCCAATTTGGAAAATTAGGCCATATTTTAGGCTATGATTCATAGTTGACTTTGGGCCTTGGGCTTGAATAAAGCCAACCTTGGGGTAATGTAGTAATCATCCAAGTATGTATTTATGGTTATGTGTTGGGACCCAATTATTAATTGATGTTATTTTGGTGTTGATAGTTCAGGAATCTATCATCCAACAACTGGTGTTGAGTCTGCGGGACTTCAACAATGTGGGGTTGAGTCTGTAGGACTTTAGCAGTGTGAAGTGAGTTACCTTCTAGTAGGGGTGGGTCTAAGGCACCAATGTCGGCCCACCAGTAGGTGATTATGTTTGAGATGATTGTCTTTATGATAATTATCTAGTTGCCGTTATTTGATATGCTTATTGTGTTGGGATGCTATGAGATATGTGTTAGTAGTAGTAGGGGTGCAATAGTCTCCAGTTACCGGTTGAAAGATACCGAAGACAGTTACCGATTGAAAGATACCGAAGGCGTGAACAGAACCCATTCATGCCTAGCAGTATGTTTATGATATGATATTATATGAACTGTATGGTTATGATATGCCAATATGTGAGCAGTATGTTTATGATATGATATTATGCGACTAGTATGGTTATGCTATGCCATTATGGGATTCAGTATTTTTATGTTATTCTATCATGGAACCAGTATGTTTATGACCTGTTATTATGTGATAGTGATAGGGGTGAAATAGTCCCCGGATACCGGTTGAAAGATACCGAAGGGTTGTTAGCTCCCGGTTATCGGTTGAAAGATACCGAAGGGGAGCTTAGTTCCCGAGTACCGGTTGAAAGATACCGAAGGGGAGTCCAGCTCCCAGTTATGCCAGACAGATACTAGTTGAAAGATACCGAGGGATAGGAATTATGTGGTATGATAGGGGAACTCACTAAGCTCCGTGCTTACGGTTTTCAGTTTTGGTTTTAGGTACTTTATTTTCAAAGGAAGGGAGTCGGCTCGATAGCAATGCATCACACCATCTTTTCCGCACACGAGATGCTTGGGATTATACTCTGATATAGTTTTATGATACTATGTTGTGATTATTGACACTTTGGTTTTTACATGAGATATTATTATGAATGTTTTTATACTAATGGTTTTATGTAATAACTTAATTGAAACAAAATTTTTGGCCAGTATTTTGGGATGTTATAAGTTGGTATCAGAGCCTTGGTTTGAGGGATTCAGGCACACTTTCGAGTGTGTCTGAACTCAAACTAAGGACTTGGTATGAAAAAAAAATTCAAAAGTAAAAATCATTTTATAAAAAGAAGTTTGAAAAGGGACGACAACTTGGAAAAAAACAAGGTGTGTGATGCGTGCAATCAGCCGAGCTTAAGTAAGTTTTCCCCAAGATACCCATACATGTTATGTTATGATATGATTTTGAGAACTACATGCTAGATTAGGGCTGAGGATCTAAGAGGATTCCTTATATGCCTATTGTATGTGCTTGTACACTTGCATGCTAGTACTGATCATTCAGTGATAGGATAACCTGTTTAGGTTATGCGTGATTGTAAGAACCTTTGAATTTCATCTACAGAATCCTGAGTAGAGGATAGAATGGTTTGATTGGAATATGATGGTTAGATTTTTGCATTGTCTGAATGCTGCTTGCTCTGTGCTTTGTGGGACTCTTAGTAATGTGAGCTACCTATATTCATGAAATTGCTAGTTCACAATACTGGGAATCTTTTAGCAGCTGAGGACTGGGCGAGTTCGGGAACCTAGGAGAGCCTAGGATATGTTTCAGTGGGTAGCAGTGAGGTTTAGTGAGACTGGGTGTACCAGTTTGATGAAGTGACTTGGAGGATTTGGGAGGATTGCTGAGGAAAGTATGGATAGGTGTAGAAGGTAGTATTGGGCCCGTACTACTAAAAGCACAGGATCCATACTCGAATCGGTGAGAGTCTTGGAGAATCTGAGAAGCTTCAGGGAAGAGTTTGTGACCCAGTTTGGGGATAGAGGATGTTCCA